ATTGAATAGTACTAGACCAAGGACTGACCCCTGTGGACCCCCACTAGATACGCCCTCCCAACTTGACAGCAAACCATTGATAACTACTCTATGAGTATGGTCTTTCAACCAGTTGTGCACCCATCTTATGGTAAATGTATCGACACCGCATTTCTCTAGTTTGCTTATGAGACTGTCATGTGGGACTGTGTCTAAAGCCTTTCTAAAATCAGGTATATCTCATCTACTGCTCCCCCTCTCAGCAACCTTGTCAAAGAAGGACATTAAGTTGTTTTGGCCTGATTTGTTCTTGACAAATCCATGGTGACTATTCCTTATAACTCTATTATCCTCCAGGTTCTTACAAACGGATTGTTTAATAATTTGCTCCAGTATCTTTCCAGGTATTGAAGTTATGCAGACAGATCTATAATTGCCCAGGTCCTCCTTGTTCCCCTTTTTAAAGACAGGCACTATGTTTGCCCCTTTCCAGTCTTCTGGGACCTCTCCCATCCTCCAAGAATTCTCAAAGATAATTGCTAATGATTCCGGGATTGCTTCAGCTAGTTCCTTAAGAACCCTAAGATGAATTTCATCAGGCCCTGCTGACTTGAACACATCTAACTTATCTAAACATTCTTTAACCTGCTCTTTCCCTACTGTTCTTTCCCTGGGTGTTAATATTCATTGTGTTGAGGATCTGGTTATCATTAACGTTAATCATCTTTCTCTTGCTCCTAATGTATTTAAAGAACCTCTTCTTCTTGCCTTTTATGTCCCTTGCCAGGTATATGTAATATATCATATTACAGGCAAACAGCACTGTGACCATAAGGGAGCTGAGAATGGGCATGCCACAGGCATGTAGCCCTGAGACTGGATGAGAAGGGTTGTGAGAATGGGCATGGTTGGTTCATACCCCAGACACATCACTAAGACCAAGAGAGCTGAGAATGGGCCTGCTTTGTGAATGCGACAAGCACTGAGATCAGGGTGGGGGATGCAGAATAGACACCATCACTGCAGACCACAGCCGCGCACCCAAGAACGCGGTGGGAAATTGAGAACAAGCAGTCTCAGTGCATGCCATAGACTGGGGGTTGGGGGTGAGAGAGAGACATTGTGGAGCATCCCTTCCCCCATGGCTCTGCTGCCTGGGGATGGGGGGCGGGGAGGAGAAGAGCTCTAAACTCCTTCACCACATACTGCTCTGGGTGCTCAGCTGCTGCCTTCAGTCATCTCTTTTTCCCCATGTCACTGACAGCTGAAGTAGAGTCATCACAACCACTGACAGCATGAATGTTTGGCAGCATCTGAGACACATCCACTCCCAGCTCCAGCCTCTCCATTCATGGGAACGAGGCTCATCTTTTGGCCAACCCCAGTTTTGAAAAAGAATTCATCTCTCCCAAGAACAGAGCAATATTTTGGATACATGGATGAAACATCTGAATCCAAGCACCACATCAGCACCCCGTTTACTCCGAGTGTTTGCTTTGCATGAGCAACACGCAAGAATGTGCGTGAATCTGCTTCCTCGAGTTCTCGTATTGCAGAATGGTTACCAGGCCCTGCTTTCACTGCATGTGTGATGTGGTGAAACCCACCAGCAAGGTACACGTTGCGACTAGGTGACAATCTCTGTCCACCCTTCACGAGCCAGGCACTGAGAAGAAAGCGTGCAATGTTAGGTTTATTCTTTGAATTTGATATCATCTGCAAGCGTTGCTTTGGTAATGGTGTGAACATAGTGGGGGCTCCGAATGTCTTGCATTTGGACATTCCCCCTGCAGGCTCTCTCACCAGATTTGATTGATTCTTCATTTGCATAATTGTCACCCACAATAGCAGTGTATTGACATTGCAGTCCGACGATAGTGTGCAGACAGCTCCCAGTAGTTTTGCACTTGGCAGTATCATTGAACGCCATCAGCAGAAGCATCCTGAGTTCAAGAATAGCTAATGCTAGCTCATTAGATGCTGGTAGCTCAATCAATGACAGATTTTTCTCAAGCCAAGACAGCGTGTTGCTCTTTTGGATCTTTCTTAGAGATCCACCCAGTCGAAGAGGGAAAGTGGGACAGGTGCCAGCTCACATGTCATCAAACCCTGGATATCAACATTTCTGGACTGGGCAATAACTCATTGCTGAATATCTGACAATCAATAGTTATCACTTGTGCTGATTGCTGCTTCTTTTGTTTGATTGTTGTGTTGAGACTACCAAATGATTTGAGATTATGCCTTTCTATGGGCTGAAAGAGGTCTCCCTTGCCCCTTTGCAGCCTTCTGGTTACTAAAAGCTTAATTTCTTATGTGCCAGTCTCTCTTATCAAGCACAAACCTTCTGCACTTTCAGATGGAGTCATAGTAGACATTGCAACGTTCACAAGTGACTGTCTGTTGTGTGGCCTTGTTCCAGGTTCAATGCTAAAAGGATTGGTCATTCTTTCAGTCACAAAACATAATACCTTAGAATTTCATCTGCAGCCATGTGCTTTGTGGTAGCTTCTTTGTGGAGATTGAAGGCTGCATTCCACACCTTTGTTTTGTCATAGCTGTTACAGCTGCCTTAAAACGTGCAGTCAGGTAATCCTTGGTCAGAGCCCTATCTTTTGTGCAAAGATGCTGATGATTCCTACAGTCCTTGTTCAGAGATTGCTCAATGGCCATGTCACAGGGTAAGTATCCCACTGAAGCTTCCTATTAGCATAAGCTTCCTATCAGCTTGGGTACAATATATATCTGGTTTCTCCTCCTCCAGAGATCTGGTTTCTGCTACATTTACACAACCCATCTGGCATAATTCATATGACCACACTGTCATAGTGGGATCATCTCTGCAAATGTCTCAAGCTCCATGGACTTGTTATTGCCTCTCTTTGCTGCTGTGTAATCCATCCGTGGTTGGGAGCAATGTAGTTTTCCCGGGATGGAAGTGTATGTGAACAGTTTTTCCCTTGGGTAATGGAAGTATCCATGACCCGCTGCAATGCTTGGGAGCTGTTCAAGTCTGCCAGAGCATTCTGTGCTTCCACTCCGTTTTCTCTGTGAACCTGCTCCACATCTTCAAATGCTTCAATGCGTGTTTGAGCTTCCTCCAAGATGTGTCTCTTCTAATCTTCTGGGATCATCATTGTGCACGGAATTACCAAGTGCCACCCACTTCAAGCGAGTCATTGCCTCATTCATAAGTTTATGGATTCTAATGTCCTGGTTATATGCCTTCCCTCTTAGAGCATGGCTGAAGCACCAAAGATGCTGGCTTCCACAAGGATGTCTTCAAACCCACTCTCTGGCAGCACACTGCCTGTATCACACATGACATTTGCTACTTGATGCATGCCTCCCTTCTCAAGGTGGTCATTGTCAAATCTGTTTTGATTCCTCCATTTAATCAATAGTACTTTGCAGTAGATTGCTTCATCATACATGACACAGGTCCAGTCTTGGCCCAGAGAGTGGAACATATCTTGAAAACATTTCATCCTGGTGTGCACTGCGTCAACATCAGTTGCCAGTGAAGGAGTCATTGGACAGTAGCCAATATTCATAAAATAGCAGACAGAAAAACTTTTCAACAAATAATGACAAATATTTAGATCAGGGGTCGGCAACCTTCCAGAAGTGGTGTGCTGAGTCTCCATTTATTCGCTCTAATTTAAGGTTTCGCGTGCCAGTAATACATTTTAACATTTTTAGAAGGTCTCTTTTAATAAGTCTTTAATAGATAACTAAACAATTGTTGTATGTAAAGTAAATAATGTTTGTAAAATGTTTAAGACGCTTCATTTAAAATTAAATTAAAACGCAGAGCCCCCCCAGTCCTGTGGCCAGGACCCGGGCAGTGTGAGTGCCACTGAAAATCGGCTCGCGTGCCGCCTTTGGCATGCGTGCCATAGGTTGCCTACCCCTGATTTAGATGTATCACATGTTTCAAAAAAGCTCATACTGTCGTATGACCACAGACTTTTGTTTTAATCGAAGGCAAAAAAGTATAGGAAAATGCATAAAATATATCACGTGGGACAAAATATTTCCTAACATTTCCAGGAGTACTAGTTTAGTTGCATAGTTGCATAATCAGTTGTATTTAAAAGCTTTCTGCCAATGTTGGTCAAAACTATGTTTCTTCAAGTTATGGCCCTTTTTGTGATTTTATGGGGTTTTTTGGTTTGGTTGCCCAATAACGTTTAAACACTATGTGATAGAAAAACTGCACCACTTCCACCATCTATGTCCACACTGGCGATGACCACCAGATATGTGCTTAACGTATGGGAGCAATGAACTTTTTCCAGCTGAAGCGTTTCCCTAACTCATTAATGAGACCCCCTTTTTAAATCTGTCTGGTACACTATGGAACTTTTAAAAAGAGGCAAGGTTGTTATATTGGAAGGAAAGAGATTAAAATGTTCTCAGGTTCATCCTTAAAAGAGGAAGGATGGTCTGGTGGTTAGGATGCAAGACGGGGACTGAGCAGCCCCATGTTCAGCTCCCTGCTCTGCTACAAACTTCCTGTGTGGGCAAGTCACTTAGGCCCAGATCCTCAAAGGTATTTAGGTGCCTCACCCTCAGGGAAATCAATGGGAGTGAGGCACCTAAATACCTATGAGGATCTGTGCCTCAGTTCCCACTCTGTACAATGGGAATGATAGCACTGCCCTGCTTCCCAGGGGTGCTGTGAGGATAAATACATTACAGAGTGCGTGGCACTCAGATACTAGGGTCGCAGGGACCAGGACCTTAGATAGGTTTTCCGTGTTGAAAGAGGAGCATCGTCACACTGCGTTCTTGGAGACCTGGAAGGCCACGTTTTACCAAGACAAAGTCACTGAAAAACAAGGGCTGAATTTTGCAAGCTCCCTATCTCCCGCCCCCACCCCTCCCGGCCGCAGCTAAGGCTAATTAAAATCAACTGCATCTTGCTTTAGATTTTGACATTCCTTCTGTGCTGGTCATTGGCCAGCTTCTATTTTGCACTGTCTGTTCCAAACTGGTAAGAAATTGTTCTATTCCAGATGATTCAGAAGCTGGAGCCAAGAGGCCACGAACAACCATCACAGCCAAACAGTTGGAAACGTTAAAAAATGCCTATAAAAACTCCCCCAAACCCGCCAGGCACGTGCGGGAGCAGCTGTCCTCGGAAACGGGGCTGGACATGAGGGTGGTGCAGGTGAGACTGCTACTGTTGAAGTATTTTTCCATTCCCTTCTTGTCCTGACCAACCTGTGCACATCACATTCCCCTTGCGGCGCACAACCCCCGCACTGAATTCCAAGGTAGCACAGAAGGAAGCCAGGCCAGGAAAGCTGGCTGAGCAGTAAGGCCCCCATCCTGTGACTGACAGCCCGTGACTGGACTGCTGTGCCTGTGCACTGCCCCAGGGAGTGCATCTGTCCACCATCTTGATTACAGCACAGGATCCGAACCAAGGAGCTGAATCTCCCTTGTTATTAGCAGTAAGGAGTGATTTAGATGTGAGTTTTCAATACCAGCAAAAAACGGGCACTGCGTGTTTGGGTGCATATCCCAAGGAGATCTGCCATGGGGCAGAAGGCAACTGACCCAATCTATGGGCCTGAAATGCTGAATACTGGGTCTGAGCCTTGGGGAAGCTTGGATGCAGAACTGGATCTGGGCATTGTGGCTCAGGCCCATTTCTATATGCTGCATCCAACCTGGAACCCCTCAGACTAGGGCGAAGTTCAGCTCTGAATCCACTGGCCTTGGCACCCTAAGCTACAGTGGAACTGGGTTCCTGGGTCTGAACCATCTTGAACTTCAGGGAGGATCAGAACCAGCCCTGAATTTTTCTGTCCAGGCCAATCTTTTTCTCCCTGCACGTGCTCCTTTCAGTGACTCTGGGACTCTGTCTCTCCCTTTGTTGCTCCAGGTCTGGTTTCAAAACAGGCGGGCCAAAGAAAAACGGCTGAAGAAGGATGCTGGGCGGCACCGCTGGGGCCAGTTCTACAAGAGCGTGAAGAGGACCCGTGGGGGCAGCAAACACGAGAAGGAGAGCTCTGCGGAGGACTGTGGGGTTAGTGACAGTGAGCTGAGCTTCCGAGGTGAGTGGGGCAGGAAGGCCGGGGGGATGAAGGTGGGAAGAGAGGGGTTGTAACACAGGGTGGGCCCCAGGGGCTTCCTGCAGAGTGGGATGATTTCCTGTGCTTAGGCACAGCTCGGCATCCCACATTGGGAAGAAGAATGCCTAGATTTCTCTTCCACCAGAAACGGGAACGATCCTTGAAACTGATGTCCCATCTGAAGACCTATGAGATAATCTCATGGCTGGTGGCTCGTTGGGGCTTTTTGCACTCGAGGAAAATGATTAATTATTGGCCTGTGTCATGCATGGCCAGAAACCCCTCTAACAACAGGGCTAGGAACTGACACACACTTACTAAGGGTGTGTCCATTCTGAGCTCCAGCGAAGGGGAACTTCCCAAAAAAAGAACTGCCGTGCTGGCCTAGAGCAATGGTCCCTCTAGCGTGGGGATGCATCAGGGCAAGGTGGAATGACCGTAGGATGCACTTCACTGTGTAATAGGATATTATGAAGGGAAATATTTTCCTCATCTCTACTCATGATTAGTCCCACCCCTGAAGCCTGAGAACTGATAGCCCATGAAAAGTGTATCTGAGCTAACGTCCCTGGCAATGTGATTCGTATCGGCATGAATGGCTAGTCCTTGTTGGAAACTCACCTGCCTCAATACGTTAATAAACTCCCACTCGGACCCACACCAGCAGCCACCTGCAGGCTGCCACAGCTCAGTGGACTTGGACCCTCTTCCATGACAGCTGGATTTGGCCGCTGCATTTCAGCTGTCATCGAGACTCACCGCAGCAGCCTCACAGCTAATGGAGGGGGGGTTCCCCAGAGACAGTACAGGGAGACTTGGAAAAGGATGGTGTGACAGCCTCCACCTTGGCTGGTGCACTGGAAATTGAACCAGGGACCTCTAGAGCTGAAACCATAAGTCTGCAGCTCCAGCTAAGCAGGCAGGCTCTGTGGGCTGGGCACAGAAGGGGACATGACATCAGCAGGTTGCACAGGCACCTCCTGCATTACTGGTCTTTCTTCAGGGAGTTCCCCACCCAGGTCTGAACACTCAAGTAGGAGTTTGCAGTGTAAATACAACGATCACTGTGGACTGTTTTTTAGGCCATTGATATACTGTGATTGGATGGTCACCTAGAGTGAAAAGAATCACGAATACTGTATAGGATACTGACCAGAAACCTATTCCCTGCTGCCCCGTTTTTCTAATCAGTCAAACCCCAGCATTTTAATGGAACCCAGTTGGAAAAATAACTCTAAAGCAATCATTTAACAATAGTTTAACTTTAAAATGGTCTCTGTGAATCATCGCAGCAAATATACAAGCCAGGACACTATTTGGCTATTTATAGTCTAATGAGAGCCAGCTATGGCTCCCAGACTGGTCTGTAGTGCCTGTGTATCAAGCCTGGTCCATAATTAGTTTACAATGCCCTTTATGAGGGCGAATGCATCTGGTGAGAATCAAGAGACCTTCCCAAAAAGAGGCTATGTGCCACCAGCTTTTGTATGACTGAGGAATAAAAGATTTACAGTAATCCTGTCTCGTGTTTGGCTGTACAAAAGGCACTACAAGAACCAAGGGAGGTGTGTGGGGTTAGCAAAAGGGTAGAAATAAGTGTGGTACCATTCCGAATTTATTCTTAATTGGTTGCACTATTTACTCTGGCTAAGTACTAAGCAGAGCAGGGAGAGCACATGCGCAGCTGGTGTAAATTGGCGGCTCTATTGCAACGGAGCTTCCCCAGCTCGTGTCAAGTGAGAATCTGGCTCAGGATGTCATACAACTGGCCTTCAGTGAGGGCCAGTTTTCTTTGAGTATGTGCTCTGTTGGCCCAGCTCATTCCTGGTGTAACCCCACTGACTCCAGTGAAGTTACTCAAGAGATGCGTTTGGTTCTGACTGACCACAGAATGTTTTACACTCATAAATCAGTCTTATTTCTTTCCTTCACAGAAGATCAGATCCTCTCTGAGCTTGGCCACTCCAACAGAATTTACGGAAATGTTGGGGATGTTGCTAGTGGACAGTTAATGAACGGAAGCTTCTCCATGGATGGGACAGGACAATCTTACCAGGACTTGAGGGATGGAAGCCCCTATGGAATTCCTCAGTCTCCATCTTCCATATCGTCCCTTCCTGCCCATACTCCATTGCTCAATGGTCTGGATTACACAATGGACACTAATTTGGGAATAATAGCACATGGAGGGCAAGGGGTGAGCCAGACACTCAGAGCAATGGCTGGGGGACCAACCTCCGATATTTCTACAGGAAGCAGTGTTGGCTATCCAGACTTTCCAACAAGTCCTGCCTCTTGGCTTGATGAAATGGATCATCCTCCTTTTTAAGCATCTCCTGCTCCCCACCCTGTCCCCCTCGTTCTTTTGGCCTGAAAGTGTGCTCAAACTAGCAAAAGAGACAACAAGCGATCTTCAAGCATCCCAGACATACCACACCAGAAAATTTCCATTATTTTCAATGGGAATCCACCACTGGTTCCTGGAGGGTTGTGAGATGATAGCGTGGTGTTTTTTCCCTTTTTCACTTGGGGAGTGGGTGAGCAGGAGACATCCTTCTGAATACAGCACACTGGCATACAGTATCTGATTCTAGGTTTTCAGGCTCATAGTAAAATACAAACTCATTGATTCTCTCCAGGTCAAAGACTCTTTGCTGTTGAGTGCTTTTGAAGCACACGTTGGCTGGCTCAGCAGATCTGGGCGATTATGAACTCCAGGTCAGTCGGTGCTCTCTTACTTGGAGTTGAACGAATTATAAATGCCTCCAAGCCCCTTGCTCTTATCATGAATTGCCTGTGCACAGGCAGTTGAACTGACCTTCCCCATAGCTATAGAAATGCAGTGTTTACAAAGCCAGGCCATGCTTACCCAGCACTATACCATGGTCAGGGGTCTGACCCGAAAGGGCGAGTAAATAATGACAACCCTGGGGGAGAAAAGCTATCGAGATTTTTTCCGTATAAAAATGTGATTGTCCTCCCTTCCCCACTGAATATTACCATTGGCTCTTTGCATAAAAAAGTTCATGAATGAGGTTGAATGGATATCAGGGCAAGCTGCAGTCCTACTGCAAGCATTGTGTCAAAGTACTAGACAGGTACCATGGGTGAAAGTTACCCATGTGCAGCGGGACAGCACAAGGGCTATGTGCCACTTAAGCCCTCAGTATTAGGCTAAGTGGTGCAACGACTTTGTACTGACCCCTCTGCATAAGGGTGAGCTTCTACACTGGACAATACCTTGTGTTAGAACGTGTTAACCCCTCAATAACGGCAGTGTTCAGAATCATGTCAGTGGTCATGAGTAACTGCGCTCTGGAAATGACATTTATCAGCTGATTATGATTCTAACCCCAACAGTCCTTGTCCACATTGACTGCTAACATGTTTTACATCATTACTGTTTATATTACAGTAGGGCCCAGAGGTCTCATTGTGCCAGGTACTGTACAGATAATCCCTGTCCCAGCGAGGTCTCAGTCTAACTAAGGAAGACAGACCATGTGTGGGAGGGGAAACAGAGGTGAAGGGATGTGCCCCAGGCCACAAGGCTAATGTAATAGCAGAGGCAGGATTAGAACGCAGGTCTCCTGACTCCCAGCCTGGTGCCCAGTCTGGTACCACACCACACTGCCGCACTGTCAGAGCTAACATGTTATAACACAATACGTTTTCCCGGTGCAGACAATCCCTAAGTGATTTCATTCTTAGGCCCTTGAGTAAGGTCGGCTGGAATTCGTCCATGGGAGATAATTCAAGACATCCCCTGATGGTCATTTTCCACCGAGCTGGTGCATAAGATGCTGCTTTTTTGCTTTTGGTAGAAGGTCATGTGCTCCCCCACAGATAAAGCCCCTCAGCCACCCGCTGATCAGACAGCAAGTCAAATAGTGAGAAAGTGTAATGGAAAGACAATCAATAAAGCCAAATGGTGGTGAGGATCAAGATGGCTTTCAAACCAACCAAGCCACTTCGTGCATGATTCCTTTGGATGAGCCTGCTGTGCAAAAGAGACAGCAAAGCCATCTTCTGTTTTCAAGGGTTATTTTTAGCTACCGGGTTTCAAAGTGACTCCACACTGTCAAGATGTCTGCAGTAGAGACATAAATACTGTAGAACTGTTGATTTTAGTGCAAGAGAAGACGGGTGCCTATCCCATGAGATTATTATCCTGCTTCCTGGGAAGTGGGACTGCTCCATTAATTTACAGCCAATAGCTCCACCCCAACTGTTTTGTTCAGAAACCTGGCTCAGCTGAAGGGTGGAACTGATTCTGCTTACAGCACCACAGGGGTTTTATCCCTTGGGTTCATGTCACCAGGAAGTGACCCCCCAAGCTGCGTTTGTCTCAGTGCTGCGGGAGAGCACACAGATGTTCTATAAGCAGCCGGCTTTGTGGGCGTTACAGTGCTCTTTGCTAGAGGATGGAGATGCTGAATGTCAAATAGGAGATGCTGCAAGGGAGAAGCTAACCCGAGAGGGGCTGCACACTTAGCTCCAGGCTCATCTGGAAATCTTCACACACACTGGTGTTTCCTCAGCTCTGCTAGGCTCTTGCAAACACACACGCATCTGCAGAAGCCACAGGGCTCCTCTTCCCCACAGCCTGTGACATTAAAGCAGCTAGAAGGACACGTCCTCTTTCTCGTAGACGAGCTGTGTCTGAGCAGCCCAATCCTGAACACACACGTGCACCACGACAGGGTCAAAGCTGCTTGGTAAAGCTTCCTCTCCTGGGATTTCTCCACAGTCGGAGCTTTTATTGTGGATGAAGATGATTTTGTTCCCATTCCTCCTCAAGCATCTTGTCTGGGGCCAGCTGGGTAGGCTGGAATCATTGGAGACAGTGACGTAGGTCAAGAGGAAAGGTCTTTATTGGCACAGCATGGTTTCGTATTAGATTGTAAGCTCTTCAGGGCAGGGGCTGTGTCTTTCCCTCCATCTGTACAGCACCTAGCACCTATGAAGGTTAATACTAATGCTTGGAGGCAGCTCCAGCGGTCAGCTGGTTCTTCCCTTCTCCACCCATCACACAGCCAGCCCTCACCAGCTTTAGTGGATCTCACAGCTCATCTGCCTCACACTGAGCACTCCATCCAAGTGGCCCCTGTCACCTGAGCTTTGAAGCATGCCCTGCAGTTTCACTCATGCACCTGCTGCGCACCTTGCAAATGTAGCGCCTGGTGGCAGGAGAGCCCTGGCGGGGATTTCCCAGCATGACTCGGAGCACTCCTCCTGGCTGATTTGGAGAGTGGACAAACTCTTCCGGTTGCATGGCTCTTGTTCGCTGCTGGGGATTGCGCCTACAGTACGTCACCTGCAGCGCTCGCAAAGGGAGGCTTGCATTGCTGTGCTCCCCCGGCATCAGCAGTGCCAATTCACCTGGTTCACCATGGGGTCAGCTTTTGGTCTGCTCGCAGCATAGCCTCAGGTCTTAAATCAATCCTCTTGGGTGGAGCCAAAAGGTGACCTAGCCAAATCACGTCTAATGGCCAAGGGGGAGCCGGGATTGCCTTTGGATCAAATATCCTTAGCCAAACACAGTGTTTGTGTTCCCAAGGGCCTTATAGACAGGAAAATTATCCTAAAAATGGCAGCAGGAGGGGCCCTATCCAGAGCCAGATTCCTTTGTACTGCCAGATCTGCCTGGCTTTGAATTCCCTGGCATGGAGGGGTTTTTAGCTGATGCAGAGCTGTCATTCCTGGCCCTGGGGCCGGGGGGGAGTGGGCAGGGGGGACATTTCAGGTGCATGACTGGAGCATTCTGCACTCTGCTTATCCCCAGCTGGTGTATGGTCCCTTGTGGGACTCTTGCCTGGTGCATAGGGTATAGCAGCCCACCAGCTAGGAAGATCTGCGCTAAGACTCAAAGCCCTGTGATCGGCTCCCTGACCCACAATCCCTGCTGTCCTACATCCCCTGCTGTAGCTATGACAACTGGACACTCAGTGCAGCAAAGGGCTAGGAAAGAGGTAGAGGTTAGCTAGAAAAGCAGTTGGCGGAGGCTGTATATGTGAATATGTTACAACACCCCATCCCCTTCTTTCACATATCCCATCTAACACCTTTCTCTGGCTCCTCAGCATTTAGGTTCCACCAACTCAGACTCCCTGACATAGAATCCTTTAGACCTGCTTGCGCACAAATGAATGCTAAGCATCCAACCCAGTTTCCATTGAAAGTCAATAGAAAGATGCTTATTGACTTCAGTGGAGGCTGATTTGGGCCACAAAACTGAATGGGAACCTAACGTATGCATCACCCTTGAACTAGACTCTCTCACTTTTTCTGGGGCTTCCACATCAGATTTGTTCAGTTGGCATCAAAAGCCAGCGCTGCACATTCAACCTACCTCCCACCAGTGCATGTCACAACAGAGCTGGGCTTTTCCTGCCTCTTCTATAACAATGATCCTGTGGGCTGAGAGGAGTTGGTGATGCCTTAGGAATCCAGCTTGCTCTCCCAGGTCAGCCGTTCTAAACAGGAATCAAGCATTCTTCACCATGAACCAATAAGCAGACAGAACCTAATGCCCAAGCATGTTCAGATCTGTCGAGTGAGCGGGTGCCATTTTCACCATGAATTTTCTGGACGTGTCCACATTCAAAATGGTTTCCTCATCTCTCTTAAGGAATGAGGCAGATACATTGTTTATTCGTTGCAATTTCTTTACAATTAGTTTTTTTGGGGAGAAGGGGTACTGAGACATCCCCAGCTTTCTTGCTGAGTAACTCATTGCTTCCATGTTAAAAGGGAACATTGAACTGAAGTTGTTCTGACAATGATCTATTACTGGCCGTACAGGAGTGCTTGGGTTGCATTATTACAGTTTTACCTTTTTAACTTGGCAGGAATGAATTTAAAACACAAAAGACAGGGCTTCCCCAAACCACCAGTCTTCTGTCCTCCCTCTGGAGGCTACACAACCGCAATTGACTAACCAGAGCTGGGCTGGGATAAAAACAAAAACAAAAAAGGAAACAAAAAGCTATGTCACTAGTGAGCAGAAATGGCTCCATGGAAGAGAGGAGAACCATTTATACCAAATAGATTAGATCAAAATCAGAAAAGGAAAGACATTTTACTTTAATTGTATTACAAGCAATAAAACGTGCAAACAGAGAACTGTATACAAGTAGTGAACAATGCCAGCGTACAACAGGGAGTTGAGAAGCTTCACGCATGTAGCAGCTCCATCTCGGAACATTGAAGTATAAGGAAATAACGTGGCTGAGATGTTCAGCTCTGTCTAGTGAATTTAACCACCCTCTATTAATGGTACATGGTGCCTTCTCCCTCTAAATGGCTTTGAAAAATCTCATCCTGCCTACATAGCCTTGAATTGCATATGGCTGTAACCATGGCCTGACTTCGGTAGTGATGCAAATGGTGCTGGAAGCTATGTGTAGGGGTGAGTGTGTCAGAAAGGCGAGCATGCTATGCCATTTTGGTACTCTTTGTGGGTCAAATTCAGCTGGGGATACAACAGCCCCTGAAGTCAATCACAGCTGTGCGTACTTAGGGAAGGGCTACGTTTGAGCCTAGGCACGGTGGGGTTAGTGCGACATTAATGTGTTTGTGTGCGCTACACTGACATCAGAAGGGAGATAACCAAGGCTAGTTTTCATCCAGTTAGTGTGGGTAACAAGAGCAGTAAAGACCCAGTGGCATGGACCCTGGGATGGGCTGGCAACCCAGGTATGTACCCAAGGTCCCTGGTGGGCTTGCACTGGGACAGCTACCCCAGGCCAGAGCCCGCTTTGCCATGTTCTCACTATCAGTGTTCCCCAAACCAGCTAGATGAAAGGTCCCTTTGTGTCAATTACACTTTTAGTTGTGGTGTACCCGTACCCTGACGCTCTCTGCTTAGTCGATTTTCTGATGCTTCCTCTTTCCTCCAGGGCTTAATAGAAATGATGCTAAGATGCTGTAGACTCTAATCAAGAATGAGACCCTCTTGATAGCTGATATTTTTTAAACCCTCCTGTAGCTTTTAGTGCAGGTGTACAAGTTCTAAAGGATGGTTCAAACCCTACTATGGCCAAAGGGTGTCATGTTCTATTAAATCCTGTAGGACTTTTCCATAAAGATCTATGGGTGGATTTTCAAAAAGCCCAAGGTTCGGTGAAGCACAGATCCCTCTGCCTTTCAGTAGACCCTGTGCTCCTAAGGTGCTTTTAGAAATCTGACCCTACCTTTGTTTTAGGCACCAAAGCTCTGATCCAGGCACCCCCTATTAGCAGGTGCGGCCCCTTGTAGAGTGCACCCACAGAGTGCCAGATGAGTGTAGCTTCCACCCTGAGCCACTCAATTGCCTTGTGGCCAGCTGCCCCTGCAATTTACACCATAAGGTCACCAGCAAATGTATCCCAGAGAACTCCCTGTGCACCAGAACTTCTTCCTCCAGGCTCCAGTCACTGGAATTTGGCTGGGGCCTGTAGGAAGGATTAAAGCCTGGTATAAATGACCCCAGCCCTCAACCAGAAACTGCATTAACTAAGCACACAGTAATCTGTCTCCCCCCCTTAGTGGCCCCTGAAGAGCCAGGTCCTCAGAAAGAGCATTCCGGGGTATGCTGGTCTAATGTAGGGCATCCCATCGTCCACAGTTCTTTGCTCTCCACCAGGCAAACGGATGCCTGCTGGTATCCTCTACCTGGAGCAGCCTAGAACTCATCGCTCTGGCATCGCTAGTCTGTGGAGGCGGGTGGGGGGGGAGGGAGATGCTCATGTTTAAACATTGCACTTTAAAAGCTGGAACTGGAGGGCTGAAAAATTGAGTGAGGCAGAAATGGGCTGTGGTTGACTGCCTGCTGTCGAAGGGCTCTGGGCATGCTGAAAGCTAAATGAAAAGCACCTCGGCTGCGCGTGCTCCCTCTCGCTCGGATTTGCTGGTTGGTTACCTCTGCAGGAGTAGCTCCAACTGCACTGACACAGCGACTGAGGGAAAAACAGAGCTCAGCAACCTCGTTGCCAGGCTGTCTGGCAGCACCTCCACATTGGCCACCCTCTGTGCTAGTCGCTGGTGAATGAGCTAGCTTCCTGCAGCGAGCCTCGCCTGAGATCATGAGCTCTCAGCGCGCCTCAGGCCTTGCCCCCGAAGGCTCACGCCCACAGACACCTGCTCTGACAGCGGAAGAGAGACCCAGAACAAACATAGCATCGTGGATCCTGTAGCACGGAAGCTGCTTGTATTTTTTTCTTTTTTAAATGCAGTTTCTACCGTAGTATGGCTCCCCAGGCTCTTTTCCACAGCTTGACGCTCCCTCCTCCCCGGTCCACCACAGCCGCCCATTGCAGTGTAAATTTTGTACAGTTCCAAAAGCAAAGTCTTGTTTCCTGGGAAAAAAAATAAATCATTAAAAACTTACTTATTGCCATGTGTCTTTGGAAAGCAAAACAGAACCTGGCGCATTTCTTTGTATTATGCCTCCTGTGCGTTGGCATGAGATGTGTATGGTCAAAACGAAAAGCTATGTGAAATAAATATGGAAAGTTCTTTAGCAGCTGATGTATCCTGCCTTTTCTTCTGTGCCGCGAGTTTAAATTAACGTTTCTCCTGCCCACAGACTGGAGACAAGCCGTAACTCTGTACCCTTCCTGTAGCACTTTTCATCCAAGGATCGCAAAGAGCTTCACCAGACGAGTGAACTGAGCAACATCTTCTGAAGTACTTTTGGTGCCGACCACTGTCAGAGACAGGATAACAGACTAGATGGACAACTTGTTTCCCCAAATCTGGCCATTCCTAAGCCTCACCATACTGCTGTGAAGTAGGTGTCTATTAGCTGCCCCCTGTTACCACTGGGGAACGCAAGGCACAGAGAAATTGAGTCTGAGATTTTCAAAAGAAGGGAAAGGAAGTTGGATGCCCAACTCCCACTGAGTTCCTTGGAACTGGGCACCTAACCCCTGAACCACCTTTTCAAAGCCTCTAGATCTCTCAGCGCAATGAGAACAGATCCCACAAATCCAAGCTCGAATGACTTACCATTTTAAAACCCTTTCTGTCACTGACCAAGAGAGGCCCTGCCTCAACCAGCTTCCTAGCTCCCCGCAAACAGGGCTCCGGCCAACAGGGGTGGGAAAGCACATGCACCGCTGCTGGGGGGAAGGGGCTGCTGGAAGAGATGCAGCTGAAGGAGGAGAGAGGGGGTGCGTGACGGCTGAGGACCGGGCTGAGGGGAGCTAAGCGCGTTGCGGGGGGGGGGTGCACTATACCAGACCCCTTTCTGCACCCCTCGGTGACTAGAGGTCACTAATAAATGGGCACTGTCAAGCCACTGAGTTTGTACAGTGCCTAGCACAAAGGGGGCTGGGTCCAAGTCTGGGGCACCTATACCTCTCCAACATGACCAGTAACAGGCTCTGGCAATAAGGCCTTCCTTCAAACATCCTGTCAGGAAGGGTCTCTTTGGGGGCCTCAATATTCACTTTAAAAACCAACCTGTTCAACACACCCCACAAAGCTCTGCATGGGCATCACCAAAGGGGCTGACGCCGAGAGGGAGAAGCAAACAGCTAGCAGCCATGTTGGCCTCTGCTGGGTTAGAAGGGGAAGGGTGGGAGCAAACAGGTAAGTAGAGACACTTCCTCTTCTGGCATCTAAGCCAGCCTCACTAGCTGGGATCCCACAGCGATGGGGGAGGGTGGATAAAAGTGCAAGCAGAACGGGAGGAAAACAGACACACAAACCGTTTTTCAAATGGTCCAAACAGCATCCTTTTGGCTGGCTACCTTTCCTCCCACCTTGCTGGCCCATGTTTACATGGAACATGACACTTGTTTCTGTAGCCATGGCTAGGTTTTCCCAGCCAGACTGGCCTTACAATGTTTCCAATTTTGTCAATTTGTAACCTCCCTCTTCCCCCCGCCACTATCCATTCCCTCTATACAGCTCAGCTCTTGGGGGAGCTGTTTGAGCCCCTCGCTCACTCTGTGACCTCTCCTGTTCTGGGGAATGAAGTAACAGGATGGACATTACTACAAAGCAGAAGCATCTGAGCAGCGTGTTCCCAGGCACATAACTGGAGTGCTGGTCATGGCGGGAGGTTCCTCTCCGCAGTGCTGCACGTTGCTTCTGCCTCAAGCTATGCTACTGCAATCCCATTGCCCTCAGTTGCATTTCGCTGGATATCAATGAGGGCAGAGCTGGTCTGGTACTGGATGTGCCGGGAAAGGGATTTCAGAAGCTAGAATTCCATTGGTTTTCCAGGAGGCCCTCAGCACATGGCTGCTTTGGTAAACAGAACAGGAGGGACAAGGGCTTTCCGTGCCTGAAGAAACAGAAATGATGAATACAAATAGGCCCCGTCTCCTACCACACCTCTCCCAGTTGGCTCTCTTAGCACTTCTGTATAGCCGCTTGCAGCCTTCCACCGCCAGCCACAGAGCAGAGCTGTGCACTAAGCCGCAGTAGCATGAAATAAACGACGCAGGAAAACGAATGCTTTGTCCATTTCAGGGGCCTGCCCACACACTACTCACACTTGCAGGAGTATTTAGAACTATATGGTTCTTGTGGAGCGAGGCCCTTCCTACACGAGGGTGTGGTGGCTTTATATATTTTAATCATTTTAACATTTAATGCTTCTCAATTAAAGTGATTTCCTGGAGTGGATGCCAAGCTTAGTTTGTATGCACATTAACCACTTTGTGTATCGGTAGTTAAAGGCACTGAGGGATTTAAACAGCAATCCACAAGGCTGCTGGGGAAAGGTTTGGCAGAATAAAGCAGATTATAAACAATAATATATGTCTCGCTCTCTTTTTTTTTTGGAAGGGCTCCAAACTCACAAACAGACCTAAAGTGCTATAAACATATCCAGGCCTAAGCTCCTGAAATGTACTGCATGAAAGCTGTGGGCAATGCTGCTGCCACTTTTCATCCATGCGCACGTGTATTTTAAGAGAGCTTTTTATTACACAAACTGTCCATCAAATAGAACCTCCCTGAGGAAGATTAAAATGCAAACAGGGATAACCTTTGATGTGAAAGGAAAAATAAATCCCAGGCAAGGACAAGGTGGCTGCAGCATGTTAAGGCAATACAGGAAGGTGACCTTCCTATTCTTTAACCTCTACCCAGCTCCACTGTGGCACAAGACAGGGTCTTAATTTTGTACAACACTGCATCCGATCCAAAATAAACAGCAGTGTAACCACAGTGATCTTGGGTTTATATATCCCCCTCACATACGGATGGATGCAAAAGCAACTGACAAACTTTCAGTATTGTACAAACATATGTGCACAATATACCTATATACACGCACACTTGTGAGAGAGGGTAATATACACACTTCACACATATGGAGTTGAGATCTATATAATTAATTGCAGTCATGTGACAAATTGTGGAACCAGGTGATAAACTTGTTGTGTACCTTTGACCACCACACCAACTTATTTTGACATCCATTTATAAGCAATGCATCACCATCCGACGTGGGCACACTTTGCATGGTGTTGTGTTATTGACATTTCACATAGGAGGAGAGAAACTTTTGCACAGCCCCTTGCAGACACAATCATAAAGACAGAGCGATCTGGTCAGTCAGCTAAGTGTTTTCGAGTTTCCATCGCTCGGTCAGTGGAAGGCCTAGGTTAAGGAAGGCGACTCCTCCTAGCCATGCCCAATTTCACACCACTGTATTCCCAAGAGGAATGTTGGGGATATGCCATTGGATTCTCTAGAGCTTTAATCAAAAATGACTTGGGGGCAGGTGGGAGAGAGAACGCTTCAGTCTCTGTTGAAACATCTACCTTAAGTGACTGGAATTAAACACCATGAGTTGTGGTGCACAGGTAAACTTTAATTTTTAACAGCAACTATGTAAGAATTTACATACACTAATCCAGATAGTTTGTGGATATTTCTCCAGCTTCATCCTTTAAGCCTGATTGCCGCTGGTCCTCTTCTATTCTGTGGTTACCCTTTAACGTTCCCCTGGAGTTAGTGGAACTTCAGTAGGCAACTGCTAATGCTCAGCAGTGCGGCACATGCTTATCGCCTGGACGTACAGTCCCTCCAACGCTCTGCAGCTGTTATTTGGTTAAACACAGCCAGAGGTTAAGCAACTTCAGAGCAAACAGAAATGGACACATAAGAATCACAACCTTTTCTACCCTAAAGGAACCAATAATTTAAAAAATAATTGTGTATGAGTCCACAGCTCCTGCTGTTCTGCTTCTGTGGGATGAGCACCATTCACGACATTTCCTGGCTTTCACACACAACATAAAAAGTCGAAAGCAATAAGCTCGATTCTTATTCTGCACAGCAACTGCCAATTTATTTTTGGTGCCACATGGCTACATCTAATCCATACCAGATCATGACGTTCCTGATTTGAGAGCATGCATGTGTGTTTCTATGTTACTACAGCCACCTGGTGCAGTTGCCTTTAACGTATATCATACTTGTACTCACAGCCTGGCGGACCATACAATAGGACACCTTTGCGTAGCACATATGATTTCCTCCTGCTGTTTTATCCAAAGTGCACGAATTCTCCAATAAATATTTGTTTCTATCAAAATGTGCATCTGCTTCACTGTTTTGAATGGACTGGTTGTGTATATAAGCAAACGTGCTTATACGGCCCACCACACTTTAAAATGTAGCCCAGAAACCCAATTTCACGTTTAAAGTTTTCTTTGAGTTGTGAACTTCGAGCAGATCCAAAGCCCATTAAGTCAATGACAAGACTCCCATTTGGAGAAGAGGATTAAAATTCAAAATGATCTGAAGTAAATAGGATAAAATTCAATAAGGACAAATGCAAAGTACTCCACTTAGGAAGGAACAATCAGTTGTATGACTGCCTAGGAAGGAGTACTGCAGAAAGGGATCTGGGGGTCAATAGTTGATACAAGCTAAATATGAGTCAGCGGTGTAACACTGTTTCAAAAAAAGCAAACATAATTTTGGGATGTATTAGCAGGAGTCTTGTAAGCAAGACACAAGAAGTAATTCTTCCGCTCTACTCTGCGCTGATTAGGCCTCAACTGGAGTATTGTGTCCAATTCTGGGCACCACATTTCAAGTAAAATGTGGACAAATTGGAGAAAGTCCTGAGAAGAGCAACAAAAATGATTTAAGATCTAGAAAACACGACCTATGAGGGAAGATTGAAGAAATTGGGTTTGTTTAGTCTGGAAAAGAGAAGACTGAGCGGGGACATGGTAACAGTTTTCCAGTACAGAAAAGGTTGTTACAAGGGGGAGGGAGGGAAATGTATTCTCCTTAACATCTGAGGATAGGGCAACAAATAACAGGGACAGGGAGGTTTAGCTTGGACAATAGGAAAAACCTCCTGTCAAGTTAAGCATTGGAATAAATTGCCTACGGAGGTTGTGGAATCTCCATCATTGGAGATTTTTAAGAGCAGGTTAGACAAACACCTGTCAGGGATGGTCTGGATAATACTTAGTCCTGCCATGAGTGCAGGGGACTGGACTAGATGACCTCTTGAGGTCCTTTCCATTCCTATGATTCTATAAGCAGCTGATTTTAAAAAGTGCTAAGAACTCAGCAGCTCTCATTCACTTCTGGCTCAGGAACTACTTGGCTACAGTCATGAAAAAAAATCACATGGTAAATAAGGGGGAACATCTACCATCTTCATGTACTGCTAATCTGGGTTTTTCTCCTGGAAGCTCTGCAGTGCTACACTATTATGTGTATAAACAACCTTGTCTGCAACTGCAGAGTTTGGACCAGTAAATGGCTGCTATGGAGGGAGAGATTTTCTCACACACAACAAAGTACAGCAAATCTTGGTAGGTTTAACAAGGGTCTGGTGCCATATTGCAGCTATAGTCAATGGACCAAGGGACAATTCCCATTTGACTCAATGGGTCTCAGGCTTTGGATGCATTGTGGGAAGGAGATTGTGTCCAAGGAGTTCAGGTTCTACTCATTATAGTACAGATTCTCTAAAGATCCATCCACACTGTGTATCCTACTGGACTGAGGGGCTCTTAATAGTGCCATTAGGAGGCTCTCAGTGCAGTAATTTTCTGACAATAAAAACGTGGTTTGGTCTTGCAGTATAGGTAGGTCTGACCCACATTTTAAATGTCCCTGAACAGTGCTATCAGTGTAGACTTGGACCACAGCACTGTGACATGGTTAACACAAGTAGGGACTCCCCCACTAGCAATTAAACTGCAGTCATATACATATTCTCTGCACTTCCACAACCCCCTCCAAAACAGAAGCCATTCCTAATGGATCCTCAGCACTCTCTCCAAGGCCAGTTAGTTTCGGACAGATTCTTGGTGATTCTTACAGCTCACTAGCATCTGCACCTGCCCTATGGAGAGTTAAAAATGTGGTTCAAACCTATCTACACTACAAACCAAACCATGTTTTTACTGTCAGAGAACTACTTCCACATGACAAGGAGTTGGAGATAAAAGTAACTCACTGGTGACAACATTTTTACTCTGCAATATTTTCCCTTTAATAAGCAGTTGCATGAATGATAAAATCATATTTTGTGACTTCACTCAAGATACGGGCACAGTACTGACGTCTCTCCTCCTCTTACATCATTTATGGTGCACTAATGTACTTCATATCTAGAATACAGAGTGACACACACTAAAAACCCCATCATCTCCCATGGAACTGAGCAGGAGATTGCACTGGCTCAGTCTTTGTTTTTGTCATTTTCTTTTTGAAGAACACTTTCTGGAATACCCCTCTGAGTGGAGTGTGCTGGTACATCTGAAAGGCCCCAGTTCCAATCGCTTCACAGGAATCAGGCCACTACCCCTGTCCAAAGACCAGAAAGGAACAACGTATGACCTTGTGCTCTCTCTTATATTTATAGTATTTGTCTGGGCCAAGGGAAATACAGCTCAGCTTCCCTCAATGGTACCACATCTGATTTCCCTAGATCTCATTTGGTCACATCTGAATCTTCAGTGCTGATTTGATCACCTCTCACTAGTCATGTATATTTTTCAAAAGAGCAGCCGCGTCTAAATATAGTCAGATGTTGTCTGAGTCCCCCCCACCCACCCAGAGCAGTAATAAATTCCAGAGCATGCAAAAATGGATTCTATTATGCAGTGTATACTCCTTCCAAAGACTTATGCTGGTAGATTTGCCAGGCACCCAGCCCTCCCAAACGTCATGCCCGACTCTCAAAAAACAATGCATATTAAAGAGGGTTGTGGGGGTTAGAATGGGGATGGGGTGGGGGTTATTGCCGTTTCTGTCCACTCTTGAAGCCCCGTGCTGGTGCAGTCCTTCTGGTTAGGTTTTGCCAGCCGTGTGCTGCTGCAGCAGGGAAGTGATTGCTTTACAGTCCGTCACCTCTTCAGGCAGGCAGCCTTCTTGGTCCAAGAGGGTGGGATCAGCTCCAGACTTCAGCAGCAGCTCCACAATGTCAAAAAACTCACAGGCGGAGGCTGGAGACAAAGGGTAGAGTTAATCTGATGTTACAATTCTGCAGCGATGGGCATTCAAGAGCTGCAACAGTGAATGCCAGCTGCCTCCAGGCTAGAGCTCAAGCATGGTACAGGACATCCTATACCCACACCGAACATCTTCTGGTGCTAGGAAATGCCATTTTGGCTTTTGGCAGCATATGGTAAATACTGCTTTGGGAAGCAATTAGCACAAATTATTTGGATTTTGATTTACTATTGCAATGGGAAGGGACACTACAAACTAGACATTTCTGTTTGTCCTGACCCTTGATATATGGTTTGGAACGAGAACTCGAGGGTTCCTCTGGAGTCCTGCCTCCATGAGAGCATGCATTTGCACACAGAACAAGGCAGGGCTTTTAGAGACCCCTGCTTCATTTCATACGCCCCTTAACCCATCCTGCAGCAGGAGGCAGGGCTTCTCTGGAGCCAGGTCTAGTTCAGAGATCATTACCGTTCTCTTGCTTCCCTGCCTCAGCCCATGACCTCCCCATTGAGACACACTTTCGATGTAAAAAGACATGTTATTCCACAACTCCACCTGAGCCCACCGCCCCATACATGCGGCTTGGTGCCCATTCGTTTCCAGCACAGAGAGGCGTGACTGCGAGGTGGAAACTACCAGGCAGGCATGAACAACTCCTTTTTTCAAATTCTCATTACTCGGCCAAAACCAAACCAAATTCCACCCCTCCCGAAGGGCTCCCTCCCTGCCAAACTGCCACTTCCTACCCTCACCCAATTCAACAAGGGCCTTTTTCAATAATAGGAAAAGAGCCGAGCCTGTTGACATTGTCTGAAGATCTGGCCCCTGGATTTTACCTTAAAATAACGTTGTGGCACAGACTTCCTGTAAGACTTAAAATGTCTCAGTGCTGATCTGCCTTCTGAGACTGTCAGGAGGGCAGTTTCCTGTCTGTTAATTGTTGGTTTTAATTATATTTCAGGCACTTTAACAAATTTAGCGGTTTACTCTTCTATGCCACTAGATGTAGTAATTAGTGTCTTTTACATTACACTGCAGTTTCCAACAGATCCAAGGGGACAAGCAGCAAAGTTTAATCAAAGTAAACTTGAGATGTGATCGGAGCTTATGTTAAAACAAGGAGTGACGGGACTGATGACAAAGCAGCAGGTAGGATGCAGGAAGAGAGAGAAGTGCCAAATGGAGCGGCACAGGAGAGAGCAACATCCAGCAAGACCTCAGGGAGCCTTTAGGAAAGGGGCATTTCCAGAGAGCTGAGGGAGCCATGCAAGGGAACCCAATATCATGGTTTCCCATGGAGGCAAGTCTGTGTGATCCTGAGCAGCTGGTCCTGAGACAGAGACATTTCAGAACCTGCATCTCCAGGGAAGTGACAGATCTTTATGAAATTGGCACCTCTACACTTCAAACGCGAAAGCGGTGCTGCTGTAGTGCTTCGGTGTAGACGCTACTGATGCCAGCGGGAGGGGTTCTCCTGCCTGCCTAGGTAATCCACCTCCCTGACAGAAGATTCGACACCAGGGGTTAGGTAGGTATAGCTTAATCTCTCAGGGGTGCTGATTTTTTACACCCCTGAGAGATGTTGTTATACCCACATAAGATTCGAGTGTAGACTAGACTTCATTCTCTGTTTCAAATATACTGCAAAGAAAAATGGCTAGCTTTTGCACCAGCCGAGGGTCTGATCCTGAAGGGTGCTAAGTACCTCCATCCCCAAACGACTCTCAGCAGGTGTTCAGCACTTCTCGGGACCAGGCCCAACATGAGGCAATGTGTTGGCCCTGTTGCTATACTGGGAAATCCAAGTGGTCATCAGCCCATCTCAGAAAAGCATGAACAAGTCCCTGGAGGTTCGTACAGCTGCTGAATTTATGGCACCCTGGGAACCTCTATTTGTCAAGTGCCAGAGAGGTGGCCCTGACGCTGGCACAGGTGAAGATGAATTTTCATTCAGCGCAGTTCGCCTGCTGACTCCATTAATCCTCAGGGTTTTGATGATGAATTTCATTTTTTTTTATTTTCACTCCAACATCCCCTCCCACAGCACAGAATGAGCAGAACAGATGGTGCTTTACAAGGAAGACAGAGCACCCACGGGGATACAGAACCTGCCCACTCTGAAATCACGTGACTGCAAGTGCAAGGAGAAGCCTTGATTTCCTCTGGGAGACACAGAGGCAATGATTTTAGTATTCCCTGTGGGTGGGTGGGGGGGGGGGAGCATGGTGAGGAGGAGCAGGAGACTAACAGGGCATTTACAAGGGAGACCATGCTCATACTGATCAACTCTGCAATAAGCACCGCATATAACCACAAGCACCAAATGCCCAGAAGCCACTGAATCCTACCCGGGAGCAAAGGCAGATGGGTGCATTTGGAACTCATAACATGCAGCCCATTTGGAAGGCACATACTGGAGTGTTGCCTCCACTTAACCTCCGATTAAACCCAGGGTCAGAGCCAATTGTAACGAGCCAGGATTTATAACCCATCTAGGACAGAGTTTGACACCTGCTGTAATCAGGAGAGCTGTCACCACAAGGACAGCTGTCAGACCAAAGTAACTCATAAAGGGGGATGGCTAAATCCCCCAAAACAGTCTCTGTCTTACTGTCCTCGCTCCTGGAATGTAACTGCTTCACAGTTTACTGTAAAGCTGCAACAAAAGGAGATACTGCAGTCAAACCCAAAAGGAGACACATTATTCAGGCTATCGTGTGTCTCTGTTGCAATTAATAACCCCATTATGCAGCACCAGCAACAATCATACTTGAGGATTTTCAGAAAATTTTAGTTCTAAGTAATAATCACTTGAGTCAAAACAATTTTTTAAATTAACTGGATCTTTTCAGGCTTCACATAACATATTACTAGTGCTACAGAACGGGGAGACGGAAAAGAGAGAAGAAACGTTTTACAGATTGAATTCAGACACAGTCAGACAGGGAGAACAGGGAGGTAGAATGGACCCGAGTGGTACGGATCCAAGCAGGTGTTCTTGTGGATTAGTGATAGTGAAGGGGATGGGGAGTGAGCGTATACCCAAATGGTGGGGAAGGAAGAGGGAGGAATAAACATTGTGTCAGTATAGCAACTGAAGGTAAAATATTTTTCACTCTGAAAAGAATTTTTTATTCAAACTATACAGGTTTAAAAAAAAAAAAAAAGGCTTTTTTGGCATGCACATATCGTGGCTTTTACTCCAAGGGAAACTACTGCCTTGATCATATTGCTGTCCAGAATTTTCACCAAGCGTTGGTACTGTAACTTAAATAAAGAGTAGAGAAAAACATTTCCCTTTCCCCCCACAGTTACTCCGTGCACTTGACGGCACTTTGTGCAGAGTCATTTTCATGGCTTCCTCTGTACAGTCAGCGAGTTTCCCTTTTGTTTGTGTGGCTCTAAGACAAAGCAACAAGAGACCAAAAGAGACAAGGTGGGTGAAGTAATATCTGTTCTATTACCTCACCCACCTTGTCTCGCTAATATCCTGGGACCAACATGGCTACAACACATTGCATATAAGAGATCAAAATCACATTGTTTAAAAAATGGAAACTGTGATTATAACCCCCCTACCCCCGCAACTCGGCAGGGTGACGCAGGGGCATGTAGTAGTCCACATTACTTTACCTCATTTTTTAAAAATGACGAGGTTTTTAAGTTGACCTCTTTTAATTCTACCACCAGTGAATCTGATCAAAACCTCTGAAAACAAATAATATCATAAATATAATACAACTTGCCTCTTTTGCTTCAGGCAGATACTGCTGGATAGTCTGATCATGTGGCTGAGAAAATTACCAGTTAGCCCCAAAACTCATAACCAGTTTAATCACTGTAGATGGGTGCTAGGAGTCTGCACAAGGGGAAAGGTGAGGAGTCCTCCCCACAGGCTGGAGAGTGGGAGGGGAGATGCTATATGGGAGCTACTCCAGCCCAATGGCTAAAGTAGCCTCTGTCACCCTTGGGCCCCCTCTGCTGCAGGAAGGATTGGAAGACCCGGCCCTCTCCTCTTGTGCAATGAAACTGCATGCATCCCACAGCTACGAAACCATCTGCACCTATGCACCAGGTGGTAGGATCTGCCCCTTAATAAGGAAAGGACAAAGCTCCGATTGAGACAGACAAAGAGAAAGCACAACGTGAGGATAAAAGGTGACTAAGACAGTGTTATTCAGACAGCAGAGCCACCACTGTTTGTTAAAATAAGCAATGATCTATTTCAATTGGGGTGACAGGAATGGCTGTGTTTGAAATAAGAGGAACAATGGACTGTACATGAAGGGGCATGTGGGGAAAAGTCACAAAGTATCACACTGAATGAACCCTGTGTCCAGACACCCCAGAATTTAGGCAGATTTAGATCCAGATCCAAACTCTGCATCTTGGGCTGATCTCTACAATCATTTTGCTATCCTGTTGCTGTCCTTGTGGAACGGGTCTGAAGGAGGACCAGGCACAAATACTACCCGAGCGACAGGTGTCACTAATTACACAGCGATTATAAAATGACGATAAATTATTTAATTTAGGAAAATATTCTGGTAGATTTATCAGCCTTTTTTTGTTCACTCTCTGCACATCAGCACTGTGTATCATTTTAGTCTCTGTCTCTTTTGTATCGATCACAATTTTCACTAGAAAGACTATACAAAAACTTTAGACCCTCAAGTCAGGTTTTTACAAGTCAAAGCTAATTACGATTCAACTGCAGGAGTGACACATGCCATAGTTTCAAGAAGTAGGAGAGATGCTCTTTGTTTGTTAAGTGCAGAACCTCTGAGGCTGGTGCTGCCAGCGTAAGCTAGGCTTGTAACTTGTTCATTGTCAGTTCAAGCCACGGCAATCTTCTCTAAAAGAAAAATTCACTGTACTGTTTCTGCAACATCCTCCTGTCCCACACGGCTTGTCCAGGATAGGAAAGCCAGTGCTCTTTGATATGATTCCTCCAACGCTTTACTGCTAACAGGTCCAACAGCCACATTTCTGGCAACTGAGATTCCTTGGTATGCTACACACTACCCTGCATCCGGAACAGGACTGCAAAAGACTTTATACAGAAAGTGAATCACTAATCAAAGGGAAAAGGAAGGCTTCACAGTGAGATTTAAGGAAGGGAACTGAGTCAGCGAGTGCAATGGAGGAAGAGTGTCCCAAACATGGGCAGATGGAGCAGTCCAAGTGAAGAAAGCCCTGTTAACCATGCGGAGTGGAGGAGACACAGAGGGAGCCAAGAATGGAGAGAAAGAAGGTGAAGGTGGGGTCCAGACAGCTGTTAGGAGACAGTAAAGGTGAGAGAGGATGGGGCCTCCCCCAGTGTAGTCCACAGTGCTACCAGGCCAACACCAGCACATTAATATGATGAGATTCTAAAGATCACTTGCTGAAACATTTGCACACCACTTTCCCACACTTTTCACTAGGATTTGCTGTTGGAGTTAGCCGGCCTGGTTAATCCAGCTCCAGTTTCTGGACAGCTCCCTGCTTCCACTTCTTCTGAAATTTGCTTTACACATATTGTTTATTCAAACAGAAAACTCATGCAGTTAATAGGCAAACATGTAAATCCAAAACCAGCTTACCATAATGCAGTGCGGTCTGGCCTTCGTCATCCTGAAAAACAAAGAGACCTGGGTTTAGAGGCACATGCAGGTTCTAGGGGTATAAATAAGTTAACAACTAACCAGTCAGAGCAATTTATTAAATTAACGAGACAACTAGCACACAGCACCATGCTAAACAGCAGTCAGAATTCTACTGCATCTTCTGCCTTTCATGGGCTCAGCACACTGTGAACACACGTCAGCAACTCATAAGAATGCCTAGTGACATCACAACGTCAGCGTAACGCAGTTCAGAGCACGGATACTTCTAACTCCGAAAAATCAAGGATTCTAGCACGACAGCCAAATGCGGGGTCCCTGGCCAGTCCTGCGACTGCAATGCAACACTGGAAGGAAGGAGGCTGAGTGCATTGCCAGAGGTGCTCTCCAAGCAAGATCTCTGACAGCTGTTCAGGTGAAGGCAAAGCTCCCAGGCAGCTTTTCATAATTATTAGAGGGATAACCTCAATATCAAAGCCAATATTTCTTCTCTCAATAAAGCAGGCTCTATGAGCCAAGACTGCATATGTGCTACTGCTTTAGTGCAAAATGGATGCAGTCTTAGCCTCAGAATTCCTGCTGGCAATTAAGGGTAATATTTTCAAAGTAGACTAGGTGACTGACTATGCTCCTAGGTGACTTAGGAGCCTTTCACTTTTGAAGATTTCCCCCTAAATCATTACTATATGAAGAGCTTTGAGAGATGTTTATGATTAATATTAAAAATGAATTCTTGTGCAGTTTTCAGAAGTCAGTGCAAAACTGTCCCCCACCCAGCTGGTCAAACAAGTACAGAAAAACATAACATCAGTCAAACTGTGTGAGTCCTGCGCTGTGCTGTGCTGGTTCACGAGAGCCAAGGGGAAGAGCTGCAGAGAGCCTCTTCTCCTTGTGCAAAATTCCATCATAGCGTGGGTATCTCAGCATTGTTAGAAGCATGTGCAGCTAATGGATCAGCCTGCACAGCACACCCCCAGGGGAACACAGCCGGCAAGTTCAGAGGCACATACAGGTCTCGAAGCTGAAAAGCACAAATGCAGTCACCAGAAGCCAGTGCTTGCCAGCAGATGGTGGGTATGCATGTTGCACCTGCTAGAAAGAGCAGCAGCGAGCACCCCACAGTGCAGCACCCTGAATAGCAGGATGCTCGTGTCGGAAGATGAACCAGTTGCATCTCTGCTTCCCATTGAGTTATTAGCCACAGCAGGATCTGGCTCTTTGCAATGCTCTCCTTTAACCCCCATTGATTTGCAGAATTTTAATCATAATTTGGTCACTTTTTAATAACCATCTTCTTTGGGGTTATACTGCAAGCTCTGCAGCCTGTCCTGCCCTCTGAAGCAGTGAAAGAGAAAAGAACTGAAAAATAAACTGAAAACACAAAACTGACTGTTTGGAGATTTGTGGTTTCTGAGCATTTGTTGACAGACCAGAGATTGCTGTCACATTTTTCAGCCTAGGAGATTAGGAACAACTGTGTTTCAGGAGATTCTGCATTCAAATTGGAACAGACAAGTATTTCTGTCCCAGCCCAGGTCCACACCTAAACTTAGGTCTACCTAGCTAGGTTGCTCAGGGATGTGAAAAATTCACACACACCCCAAGAGATATAACTAAGTCAATCTAAATCCCGGTATATACACAGCTAAACTGATGGACGAATTCTTCCCTCAACCTACCTTTCGCCTTGTGAGGGGGTGGATTTACTACAATGGAAAAACCTGTTGCTGTAGTAAGCATCAGCACTACAGCGGTGTAGTTGCAGATATGCTGCTGTAGTGCTTGTAGTGTAGACAAACCCCCAGGAACAACAGTACTGCAGCTTAAGCATCAAAAAGGGCCTTGTCCCTTTTCCTCTGAGTTGCTGTAGCGAGTGCAAACTTAAGAACATAAGAGCAGCCATACTAGGTCAGACCAAAGGTCCATCTAGCCCAGTATCCTGTCTTCCGACAGTGGCCAATGCCAGGTACCCCAGAGGGAACGAACAGAACAGGTAGCCATCAAGTGATCCATCCCTTGTTGCCCATTCCCAGCTTCTGGCAAATAGAGGTTAGGGACACCATCCCTGCCCATCCTGGCTAATAGCCAATCATGGAATTATCCTCCATGAATTTATCCAGTTCTTTTTTGAACCCTGTTATAGTCTTGGCCTTCACAACATCCTCTGGCAAGGAGTTCCACAGGTTGACTGTGCGTTGTGTGAAGAAATACTTCCTTTTGTTTGTTTTAAACCTGCTGCCCATTAATTTCATTTGGTGACCCCTAGTTTTTGTGTTACGAAAAGGAGTAAATTACACTTCCTTATTTACTTTCTCCACACTAGTCATGATTTTACAGACCTCTATCATATCCCCCCTTAGTCGTCTCTTTTCCAAGCTGAAAGTCCCAGTCTTACTAATCTCTCCTCATACGGCAGCTGTTCCATACCCCTAGTCATTTTTGTTGCCCTTTTCTGAACCTTTTCCAATTTCAATATATCTCTTTTGAGATGGGGTGACCACATCTGCACACAGTATTCATGATGTTGGTGTACTATGGATTTATACAGAGGCAATATGATATTTTCTGTCTTATTATCAATCCCTTTCTTAATGATTCCCAACATTGTTACATTTTTGAGTGCCACTACACATTGAATGGATATTTGGCGAGGATATGTAAATTTATATCTATAGTATACACTACACAGAAAATAACAGAGGTAATTAAGGACAACATTCACTGACTATTCAACACTAAGGGCTTGGCTACACTTGCGAGTTACAGCACAATAAAGGAGCCCCAGGAGCACTAGCTCACTACCCGTCCACACTGGCAAGGCACGTAGAGCGCTCTGACTCCACGGCTACAGCGCTGCTGGTCTCCACCTCGGCAAGTGGAATAACGTTTGCTGCGCCCCCGCTGGAGCGCCGCGGCGCCATTAGGGACGCCCTGGTCCTATAGTGTGCTCTGATCAGCCTCCAGAAGTGTCCCACAATGCCTGTTCTAGCCACTCTGGTCATCACTTTGAACTCTACTGCCCTGCCCTCAGGTGACCAACCGTCAGACCTGCCCTTTAAATCTCCTGGGAATTTTGAAAATCCCCTTCCTGTTTGCTCAGCCAGGTGTGGAGTGCTCTCAGCGAATCTTTCCAGGTGACCATGCCTCCACACGCCAGGCGATCCCCAGTATGGAGCAATGGCGAGGTGCTGGACCTCATCAGTGTTTGTGGGGAGGAAGCTGTCCAGTCCCAGCTGCGCTCCAACCGTAGGAATTACGATAACTTCGGGCAGATATCAAGGGACATGATGGAAAGGGGCCATGACCGGGAGGCACTGCAGTGCAGGGTTAAAGTTGAGGAGCTGCGGAATGCCTACCGCAAAGCCTGAGAGGCAAACAGCCGTTCCGGTGCTGCCCCTGCGACCTGCCATTTCTACAAAGAGCTGGACGCGATACTTGGAGCCAACCTCGCCTCCACTCCGAGTACCACCATGGGCCCTTCAAAGCCCAGTTCAACAAGGCGGGAGGAGGAAGAGAAGGAAAGCGGGAGCGAGGGTGCTGAGGTGGAGGAAGACACCCCGGAATCCCTACATGCATGCAGCCAGGAGCTGTTATCAAGCCAGAAGGAAGGTAGCTGGTCGTGGCAGCCAGTGCTTGGGGAAGGACAAACACCAGAGGAGGTGCCCAGTAAGTGGCTTTTATTTTGGGAAGGAAGTTGTTCGGTGCAGGCTCTTGGAGCGAGGAGGGTTAGGGCCGTATGCATGCCTAGATGCAGAACAGGGTGTTGATGTGCTCTCTCACATCGTGGTAATCGGCCTCAGTGATCTCTGCAAAGGTCTCAACCAGAACTTGGGCAATGCGCTTGCGCAGGTTTCTCGGGAGAGCCACTGTAGTCCTTATCCCAGTAAGGCTAACTTGTCCGCGTCACTGTGCCGTGCGGGGCGGGGGGACCATTGCTGCACATAGGCAAGCTGCATATGGGCCAGGGTGGAATCCACATTGGAGTAGAAGACCCTCCCTTGCTTCCCAGGTCACCCTCAGCAGCGAGATATCTTCCAGGATGAACTCATCCTGTGGAAAATGTGGGGACAGTGTTCAGTATAGGGGCCCCCTGCAGCTGTTGGCTCTCCCCAAGGCACAGAAACCCAGAGGACAGTACAGCCGTGAAACAATCAGTCACGCTTGACCCTGTACTTACTCACCATTTTGGGGCTCCCGTGGGTTATGTGCGCTCGCTTTGGGACGGGCAAATTATGCTATTGTGTAGACAGTGCTTGCCCTTAAGTACGGGGGAATCATAACTCCAACTGGTGTGAACAATGCTGCCTCTGTTAAGTGTTGCATTTTGCCTTTACAGATGCAAGCTTGAGATCTCAGCCATCCGTGTTATCACCGGCCAAAAGACTCCAAAGAATCAGAAAGAGGCCACGTAGAAGCAAGGAAGACGTTACATGAAGTAATGCCGCATTCAAGTAATGAAAATCGAAAAGTGCTGGAGTGGCGAGACAGAGAAAGGAGGATCGGCCAGCAGAATGAGGAGCGCTGGCAGAAAAGTACAGTGCTCCGGCAGCAAAGCACGGATCGGCTGATAAGCATCATGGAGCGCCAAGCGGACTCGATCCAGGCGCTTGTAGCCATGCAGGTGGAACACTACCGTGCCCGACCCCCCCTGCAGCCCTTGTCCCAAAACTCTTTCCCTTGTGCCCCCATGTCACCTCCAACCCACGCTCCCCAACATCCGGGTTCTTACCGCCACCAGCTGCCTCCCCAACACCTGTAGTTTCACCACCCAGCCCTGAAAACTACGACTCTTACCCACTGCACTCAACCCTCATCACCATGCAGTATAGCCATCTTGAAGTGCAGCACTCACTGCATAGCACTTCAGACAGGAAGGCTGAGTATGATAACAGGACATATGCAAATCTGTGATTGTACCGTTCCCCACCCCACCCCCTTGCCCTTTCTGTTTCCCAAGCAGTTGTGTTTCTTTTCAATAAATGAATTTTCTTTTCAATAAATGGATTTTTT